CTTGAGACCATGCAGACTTGCTTTGTTTCAACAAACACAATAAATCAAACTAAAGTGAATATGAGATCACTGTATCTCAAGTTTTTTTTTTTTAAAGAGAATGCTAATTCATGAGATTGCACTGGGCTGAACCCCATGTCCATTAAGGCGAAATAGACCAAGCTCTCAATAATTTATTAGTTTCTCTCAGTGGTAAAGTAAATTATATTTTCAGCTGAAATTTGCTAATTGCAAAGTTGTAATTAGGATTTAAAAAATCAGTTCACATATTCTTCAAAACCATCTCTTCAAGGAGTAGAGTAACAATTGTGTATTACATAGTATATTCCAGAGTTCCTGGCATATCCCACGTCATGTGGATATGGCCACCTCCATGTTCAGCCTGAAGTGTTCATTCCAAAATGCATTAGAGACTAGGTGAGAGGACTTGCGGCCATGGTTGTAGAAAACAGTGTTGTCATCAAATGAGTGTTGTGTCTAGATCCAGAGGAGCCGAGTTCAAATCCCAACTGTCCCTTGTTACTTGGGTAATCTGGGGTAAGTCATTTAATCTCTTTTAGCCTCAGTTTACTCACCTGTAAAATGAGATATACTTTGGTATGGACTACTAGTATATTTCTTCTGGTTAGATTAAAATCCATGAGTCTAGCCTGCCAAGATTTTTTTTTTTTGGGAGGGGAGTGGGGAATCCTGACTTCAATTCCTGTTATTTTTTTTTTCAAACAACAAGCACTTATTTTCAATTTAATTCAATAAATGTTTATTAAAGGCCTACTATTTACAAGACACTGGGTTGGGCTGGGGATACAAAAACAAAAGCACAGTACTCCGCAATCTAAGAGCTTCCATTCCACTGGGAGAGGTATGCACAGTACATAAAATTTCAATGATATAAGGAAATCTCTGGGAAAGAAACTTCTACTATGTGTCACCAATGGGACTTGAACCTAGGTCTTCCTCACACTGAGGACAACTCTCTATCCCCTTATTCTAGAGATTCTTCTTTCTACCTGGGTCTATGATTTTTTTTTTAAATATATACTTTTGATAACTGTATTTTGATATAATTTCTTTTCTTCTAATACTATGTATTTTACATTGTGCATTTAAAGTTATTTTTCTGAGATAGTGTCCATAAATTTCACCATACTGCCAAAAGGGTCTGACAAAAAAGTTGAGACCCCTGCTCTGTAGAATATCAGAAATGGATAAGAACTAGACCTATTAATTTCATTGAAATAGAGAACTCCCTGTTTGAGAAACTATTCCTTACCAATGCAAGTCAGTCGGTACCTTCTCTTAGAGCAGGGATGGAGAACCTGCCGCCTCAAAGCCACTTGTGGCCTTCTAGGTCCTTGGGTGTGGCTTTTTGACTGAGTCCAAGTTTTAGAGAACAAATCCTTTTATTAAGGGCATTTGTTCTGTGAAGTTTGGATTTAGTCAAAGGGCTACACTTCACAGAACAAATCCCCTTAATAAAAGGATTTGTTCTGTAAAAGTGGACTCGGTCAAAAGGGCTCACCCAAGGACCTAGAAGCCCACAAGTGGCTTTGAGGCAACAGGTTCCCCACTCCTGTCCTAGAGAGTTACCTAGATTGCCGAGGTAAATTTATTGACCCATTGTCAGGTAGTCAGTTCGTGTCAAAGGGAGAACTTGGTTCCCAGACCACCTCTATATGCAATACCATTCTAAACACAGCCTCTCTTATAATGCATCTATGTAAATGAATATAAAATAATCTGAGGAGGAAGAGAAGGGCACTCGGGAAGGGTTTCCCATTGGAGAGAAGTCTTAAAAGACACTTGAGGTTCTAAAAATTAAAGGTGAGAAGGCAGTGTATTCCAGGCATGGAGGATGTCACTTTGCAAAAGCACAGACATAGGAAGCAGGATGATTTGGGAACAGCCAGTAAGTTCAATTGAACTAGAATGTAGAGTGAATGAAAGAGAGTAACATGAAATAAATCTAGAAAGGTAGGCTTGAGTGAGATTGGGGGAGGCTTTAAATGCTAGGCAGATGAGAGAAAGAGATGATCAGCAAAAAAGTTTTTTTGGCTGGTTCTTTGGATATAATAATACAGGTAGGTTTAGGCCAAGTTGCAAAGGGCTTTAAAGACCAAACAAAAGAATTTGTGTTTGATCTTGTAGGTAACGGAGCCATAGGGGCTTATTGAGTAGAAGAATGACATGATCAAACCTGCACTTCTGGAAAACCTGTTTGACAGCTTGTGAAGAATGGATGGGAGAAGTTGGGAAATTGAGACAGGGAGGTCAAAGAAGAGGCTATTGCCATAATACAGGTAAGTGATGAGGGTCTGAGCTAGGGTGGTGACTGAGTAGAAAGAATGAGATGAATGGGAGACATTTATGGGAACAGCAATGAAAAGATTTTGCAACGGAATGGATCTAATGAATGGGAAGAATGAAAAGTTGAGCATGACACCAAGGTTTTGAAACCTGGATGACTGGAAGGATGGTGGTACCATCAACAGAAGGACGGTAGTTCAAAAGAGGGATTGGTTTGAGAGGAAAGACCCTAGAGTTTTCTTATCTCTTCTTCAGTACCATTCTTAATCATTATAATCACACCACATGCAGTTTCAATTTATTGTTCAATTTATATTGTTGTGGTCATTGTGTTTGTTGTTTTCTTGGGTCTGTTTACTTCTCTCTGTATCAGTTCATGTAGATCTTCAGATTATGTGGTCAGAGCAAAAGCCTAACCTCCTGCTCCCTAGTTTTTTCCTCAAAAAGTATTGCGATTCTATTAGTTCTAATTCTTTACATCATGACTAATGTGAAAATATGTTTAATATGAATGTATAAGTAGAGCCTGTATCAGATTGCACGCTGTCTTGGGGAGGGGGAAGGAAAGGAAGGAGAAGAAAACTTAAAACACAAAATCTTATGGAAGTGAATGTTGAAAACTAAAAATAAATTAAATAATTATAAAGAAAAAAGTATTGACATTATCCTCAGGACTTAATTGGTTTAGGCAACTAAGGGCAGTTGATATCTATCGCTTCAAGATTGCCTGAGATAAAATAGTTTCAAGGACTTCAGCCTAGTGCTGAGATCTGGCTAGTAGACCATAATGGGCACCTGAGAGACAGGGACTTTGCAGCCACCTCAAAGTGTCCTCAGTTCATTTTCTTGTTGAATAGCCTTGCCCTCTTATGTCTAAATAAATCTCCTTTTGTTAACTGTTGAAAGACTTATGAGTGTCTCTTTTCATTCCAATATCAAACCTAAACTAGCAGGAGACTAGCCTGAGTCAGGCATAGCCCAGAACAACTTGCTTTTCTGAATTCCCTAGAGCTGTCATTTCTGACAGTGCAGTGATATTCCATTACATCCATGTAGCACAATTTGAATATTTACTCTTGTTTCTAGTTCTTTGTTTTACAAAGAGTGCTGTCATAAATATTTGGTGTACATGAAACCTCTCTTTCCATCTTTGTTTCTTGCAGCAGTGGGATCTTTGGGTCAAAGCAATATTATTTTTTAATAGGTTTAACTTTACTTGCTGGAAGTTGGCTAAAACTGGAATCTGGGCAATGGACAAATTAGTCAACTTGACATGTCCTCCTGCAGATCAGAAACTTCACAGGCATTCTTCCTAGATATAATCGATCTTCAGCAAGCACAGGATGCTTCCAACAAGACCCAGTTGTCCACAGCCTAAATTGGCATATGGAGCCAGGGCATCTGAGCCTGAGTTCCTACTCTTGCTGCTTACTGTGTGACCCTAGAGAAGTCACTTAAACTTTCTGGGTCTCAGTCTCCTCATCTGTTAAATGAGGGAATTGGGCTAGAATGAGTCTAAGGTGCCACCTAAATCTTAATGAGATAATATATGTAAAATTCTCTGTAAACCCTCAATTTCTAATCATTTGTCACCACAAAAAGAGCTGCTAAAAATATTTTTGTACATATAGGTCCTTTTCCTTTTTTTTTTTTTTAATCTTTTTGGAATATAGACCTACTAGTGCTATTGCAGGGTCAAAAGGTATGCAGTTTATAGCCCTTTGGCCATAGTTCCAAATTGCTCTCCAGAATGGTTGGATCAATTCACAACTCTACCAGCAATACATTAGTGTCCTAATTTTCCTGCATGTCCTCCAACATTTGTCATTTTACTTTTCTGTCATATTAGCCAACCAGATAGTTGTGAGGTTATAATTTGCATTTCTCTAATCAATAGTGATTTAGAGCATTTTCTCATATGACTATACATAACTTTGATTTCTTCATCTGAGGACTGCCTGTTCTTTGACCATTTATCAATTGAGGGATAACTAGTATTCTTATAAATTGAACTCAGCTCTCTATATATTTGAGAAATGAGGCCTTTATCAGGAAATATGTTATCTTTCCAACCTGAGGATAAAATCCCCACGAGGTTATTTATTCCAAAATCTCACTCTGTATAAGAGTCCCTCCTCCCCACAAAATATTTTCAAAAGGTGACATCATTGTCTTTTGAGACAGCCCATTCTATTCTGGATGGCGCTAATTGTTAGGAAGTTCTTTATTTTAAGCTGAAATCTACCTCTTTCCCTCCTCCCTCCTCACCCCCATCAACTAAATTCTACCCTGTGGAGCAACTCGGGATATATCGAAGAGCCTACTACTTCCCACCCCCTCTTCTCTCAGCTGTAGTCAAATTTTATACATCCCACCATGCCTCTGGCCTCCCTTGTGGAGGTTTGCTAATCATCTTTATTTCAGAACAATGACTGTGGCAGGTTTCTGGCATGTGCCTCAGATTTCTACGTAAACATGCAGAAAGTCTTATATGAATCTGATGAAGCTGAAAGCCCCTTTCCAGAAGAAAGGGTTAGTTGTTACGGAAGAGGAATCACAAAAGTATAAATCGTGCTGGTATGTGTTTATGTAGCTGTATTGGAGTTTAAACAAAGCAACTAGAGATAAATCTACAAGCCTTGGTTGCAAAATCAAGCTTGGTTAAAGTCAGTGAAATTATGGGTTACACTTACCTTGGTCTCTCTCCACACAAGCCACAAGCTCGGGCAGATTTCCTGGCAAATCAGATAGCTCAAATCAGAATCTAGAAGTAAATTTCATCATTCTCATCAAACTGCTTGAGAAACTATAGTTAAGAAACTGAAGGATGAGTGTCTTGCCCCAAGTCACACAGGTCATCACCTCAAGATCAGGATGCCAATGACCATTTTCATAACCTGACCTAATTCTGGTGAAAATTTGGTACATGTCTTTTTTAATACAAGTCAACCCCCTTGAGCCATTTCTAATTTTATGAGGCAAGAAACTTTCCTGGAAGTGTTGGAACCAAATGGCCCAGTGGGTCAAGGAAACCTAACAAATCCAGTCCGTAACTTTTCTGTTTCTGTTGGAACTTTTGATCATTGGAAAGTGATTTGGGCCTGGCCTGAATCCAGCCTAAAGGAATGTGTAGAAATGGACCTTTGGTGAATGTGGTCTGTTAAAGGGTCTGGAGACACCATTAATTAATATATATATACATTTTTTGGTGATTATTTTTCTTTTTTTGCTTTTCAGTATTGGGAAAAGAAGGACAAATAATTGTTCAAGAAATAAAGACCAAGTGTTGCAGGCATCAGATAGGGAGAGAATCTTGTTGCATTAGTGCAGTTCGTGAACTATCCATGCTTTCTGTCATGTCACAACAGTATTTTACGTAAGTGTTATGGCAAACTATTTTATACCATATGTGGATAATGGCAAATATGAAATTATTTACTGAATCTTTAGCTTTAAAAAATCTACAGCCCATTAACTTCAGATGTTGTAACAGTTTTAGGTTCAAACCCTTGTAAGTATGTTTATAAGTGGGTCGGCCCAAACACCAGGAGTTGTTAGGAGCCAAACTGCATAACCTGGGTGGGAGGTTGGTGGGAGTGCCTGGGTGACTGATGTGTTGGATCTTCCTAGACTCGCAGATGTATGGGATGTGTTAGAATTGGGAAGGCTTTTTAGAAGTCAACACGCAGCATCTCGATGATGTAAAGGTTGGAGCTCTGGACTTAGAATCAGGAAGACTGTGGTTCATTCCTGCTCCTGACATGAACTGTGTGGCCCTGGACAAACCGCTCTAACCTCATACAACTTGGGTTTCCTCATCTGTAGAGTGCGGATAATAAGAGAACCTCTTTCACAGGATTTTATGAGATAACTTATATAGAGCCTTTTGCAAACCCTAAAGTGCCTTATAAAGGCTATTATTAGTCTTACTGTGTCATTTTACAAATGAGGAAACTGAGGCCCAGTGAGGTGAGTCATAGAGTTAGTGGTAGAACCTAGTGTTCATGATTCCTATTCTCATGTACTTTCAATCATATTATGTGGCTCTATCACAAAAGCTATTTTCAAATCCCATGATTTGGGAAACTCACCTGGAAGTGAGTTTCTGGCCCAAAAAGCTAGACCTGGCCCAGCTTGGTCAAGAATACTTTCCATTTTTGCAATATAATGTGTTACAACCACTTCTCTTTTTCTTACTTCATAGTATTTTATTTTTTTCTAATTACTTATAATGATAGTTTTCAACATTGACTTTCTTTTTTATTTTTAGGCAATTGGGGTTAAGTGACTTGCCCAGGGTCACACAGCTAGTAAGTGTCAAGTGTTTGGTCTGAAGCTGGATTTGAACTTGGGTCTTCCTGACTTCAGGGCCAGTGCTCTATCCACTGTGCCACCTAGCTGCCCCTGTTTAACATTCACTTTTATAAGATTTTGAGTTCCAAATTTTTTTCTCTATCTCCCTCCCCAATATGGAAAACAATCTGATATAGGTTATACATGTTACAATCATATTAAACATATTTCTACATTAGTCATGTTGTGAAAGAAGAATCAGAACAAAAGGGAAAAACCACGAGAAAGGAAAAAAGAGAGAGAGAAAATAGTAAGCATTGATCTGCACGCAGACTCCATAGTTCTTTCTCTGAACGTGGATAGGATTTTCCATCATGAGTCTTTGGAATTGTCTTGGATAATTGTATTGCTGAGAAGAGCTAAATCTATCATAGTGGATCAGTGTGCACAATGTTGCTGTTACCATGTACAATGTTCTGGTTCTGCTCACTTCACTCAGCATCAGTTCATGTAAGTCTTTCTAGGTTTTTCTGAAGTCTGCCTGCTCATCATTTCTTATAGCACAATAGTATTCCATTACATTCATATACCACAACTTGTTTGGCCACTCCCCAGTTGATGGGCATCCTCTCAATTTCCAATTCTTGGCCACCACAAAAAGAGCTGTTATAAATATTTTTGTACATGTTGGTCTTTCCCCTTTTTTAAGATCTCTTTTGGGATACAGACCAAGCAGTTGCATTGCTGGATTTCAAGGTATGCACATGGGGCAGCTAGGTGGCCCCACTAGTGGATAGAGCACCGGCCCTGGATTCAGGAGGACCTGAGTTCAAATCCGGCCATAACACTTACTAGCTGTGTGACCCTGGGCAAGTCATCTAACCCCATTGCCTAGCCAAAAAAAAAAAAAGTCTCAATCTTTTAGGGGCAGCTAGGTGGCGCAGTGGATAGAGCACCAGCCCTGAAGTTAGGAGGACCTGAGTTCAAATCCGGCCATAACACTTACTAGCTGTGTGACCCTGGGCAAGTCATCTAACCCCATTGCCTAGCCAAAAAAAAAAAAAGTCTCAATCTTTTAGGGGCAGCTAGGTGGCGCAGTGGATAGAGCACCAGCCCTGAAGTTAGGAGGACCTGAGTTCAAATCTGGTCTCAGACCAAAAGCTTTACACTTACTAGCTGTGTGACCCTGGGCAAGTCACTTGACCCCAATTGCCTAAAAATAAAAAATAAATAAATTTTAAAAAGGTATGCACAGTTTTATAGCCCTTTGGGCATAGCACAACAATTTCTCAATGGTATTTAAATAATGATGAGAGACATTGTGGTGTAGCTTTGTTATCCAGCCTGCACCTGCTCTGATGCTGCACCCTTAGGACCCTCAGGCCTTTCTGTCTGCTCTACAGCTGTACTTTCCTTATGTGCCCTCTCACCCTGATTACAATGTGAGCTCTTTGAACAAAGGGACTTATCTTGGTTTTCTATATGTGTTTCCAGTGCTTGGTACATAGTAGGTGCGTTTCCTTTTCATTCCAATAATATTATTAGTTTAGACAATGCACAGTTGGCTATAACTTCTTTAACAGCCCAATTGCTAAAGCGAGGCAATTTTTGTTTGCAAAGCTGAACAAAAGCAAAGATAATCCCAAAATAAACATAATTCACTTTTTATATATATTTTAAACTATATTTGATTATGACTCTGTGGAATTCAAAATTCAAAATAATGAAGTCATTATATCAAAACTTGACTGTCTCTGGCTCAGCCTGTCTTCTGCCATCTTTTCCTCTTCCTTTTCCTACTCAGCTCCTCTTTGCTGGGAACACTGCTGCCACAATCGTAATCAATGTAAGATAACAAACTAAAAATGGTCCTCTGGCATTCTCCAAACTCAGTCTTCCTGCCTCATGCAGGAAGTAATTAAAAATGTTGGCTTCAAAAGCCTTTGCTTTTAGGCTATTGTGGGAACCAAAGTGCCTAGAAAATGCTGTATGCCCTTATCTGTTGTAGGTGATAGGGACAAGAATTCACAAGCAAAATATATTTTTCATTATTCAAAATATGCAGTGGGGATCTCACAACAATTTCAGTTTTTGAGTCAGAAAAAAAGAATTTTGACTATAGGGAAAAAAAGTTTGTAATATACTATGTATAGTCAGGATTTGAATCTGACAAATGGACCTCTTCACATTCTGGTATTATTTAATCTTTGGATGTTTTAGTTGGTTATTTTATATTGGCTTTTGGCTTCTCCCAACTTGGTATTCATTTCTTTCTTATTTCTAAATGTATTCCCACCCTTCTCTTACTAAGCCACTCATCCCTTATAGCAAAGAATGAAACAGAAGGAAAAAAAGGTAGTTTAGTAATATCATTCAACATATCAAATCAAGGTTTTACTGTATTTCAGTATAGTCCTCCACCTTTACAAAGACAGGAGAGAGGCGCATTTTTTCATCTCTTCTCCAGAGCTAATCTAGGTCATTATCATTACACAGGATGATTTGTTGTTGTTTATTCCATTTGCACTATTATAGTTTAATGACAATATTTATTGTTTTGCTGGATCTGCTTATTTCACTCTTTATCAGGTCATATAAGACTTCCCATGTCTGAGTTCTTCATATTTGACAGTTCTTACAGGGGCAGCTGTTGGCTCAGTGGCTAGAGTGCCAGGCCTGGAGTCAGGAGGACCCAAGTTCAAAATTTGCATCATATTTACTAGCTATGTGACCCTGGGCAAGTCACTTAACCCTGTTTGCCTCAATTTCCTTATCTATAAAATGAGCTGGAGAAGGAAATAGCAAATCACTCCAGTGTCTTTGACAAGACAATCCCGAATGGAACCACAAACAGAGGGATGTAACTGAACAACAACAACAAATGGATAATAATATTTATTTCATTACATTGTAAAGCTCTACATCTCAGGGTATTCCCATTCCTACAAAAGGGCTCTAGCTCTGGACCCACATGAATCAGGTTCAGTCCTGGGGGAGCCTAATTCCTGAATGAGAAGAGTTGGGCTTTTCTCATGTTATTTGGTTCATTATGTACCAACTCTAGAATTCTGGATAAAAATATCTTAAAGTTTTACACATAGTTCAAATCTAGGGTCACCTCTAAAAGAGATTAATAGGGTCCCTTCTAGTAAAGGTACTCAAAATACAAAGTAGTTATCAGGTATGGGCTCATACGCATCTCCCGTATCATATTTAAAAAATACTTTAAGACATAAAAGACCAATAAGAATGTATTGATAAATATAGTAGATTCTCATCATTTGCAGTAGTTATATTCCATAAAGTTGCTGGGAACACTGAAATAGGGTGTACTGAACCATTGCTCCTAGGGGAAACATTGGGTTAGGTTACTGGGAACTTCTAATCACAATATATTAACACCTTCCTGAGAGGCCTCATGTACGGATAGGCAAATTGTCTCTTCTTTTTTTCTGAATGTACCATACTGTTGATTAATTAATATTGAACTCATGGCTAACAACAGTATAACTCATACTGTAATGTGGCTTGTCTAATATGTATTTTCTCATTAAGGCACATAACAGGTTTCATGTGCTTAGGAACACTAGACAGTACTTCAGCACTATGCTTGGGGGACCATTTAAAATGCCAAAATCACCAACAAAAAGCAAAAATAAATAAATAAATAAAGTGGAAAAACAGCATTAAATAGAGAGCTGAATTATTATGAGAGCTGAATGAAGAAGGCAGAGCCTCCATTCAGCCTCAGCTAGGGATGTGCACATTGAGGGAGTTAAATTTGTTACCACTCTGTGAATGACTACAAAAATACCTCGAGAATTGATCGTGGGGGTTACAAATAAACTTCAGCAAGTAGATGAATTCACAAATATGGAATCCATGAATAATGAGGATAGGCTATACTTAAAACGTGAAGAAGTAGCCTATCGCTCCTATTATTTTCTCTTGGAATACAAAAACAATTTTGTAGGGTGATTAAACATATTTCATATTCACCATTATCTATATTGTATGAACAGCTCTCAAGTCCCAGATTTTCTTGTTAACCGGGCAGATAGTTGCATATAGCCTTCCTTTCAGCTGCAGAATCTTGATGTTGTGGCCTTTCTCCTCTGAGAAGCTGTTGTGGAAAATCATCAGCTCCCAACCTCTCAGTCTCATCAAATTACCAACAGTATTAGAAATGTCCATGTCTCTGAATTGCTGTTTAGTGATCTGCTTTTTTTTTTTTTGGGGGGGGGAGGAGAGGGGAATAGAAAAGGAAGAGGCAACCAAGGGCTTGAGGTCTATTCTCAGGATTTCCTATGCAGGTACATATTCCTACAGCTTTTACATGAAGTCAGCATTGCCTGGCAAGGAAGTGACAGAAATCTCTCCCCTACTTGAATTCCTTGGAAGTCATTCCTTGGAATGAGCTATTTCCCAACAAAGAAGGGGGCGCTCAAGAGTCTAGAACCCAACTTTTCTTGTTCTGTATAGTTTACAGAGCCAGCACTTTCTCTTGGCTTAATCGCCAATCATAGCCTCTAATCTTAGGGACTCACAGACACCAGCCAAGAACCATTGTATGTCTTTTAGCAAAGGGTCAGTGCATATGACCCACCACAAAGGAGCCAGGGTAAATGCTCAGTCACATCACCCATTATATAATTCTTGTTACGCAACCCCTGTGGTACACAAATTTTACCACAATTTATTTAGTTGTTCCTTAATTGACAGCTATCTACTTTGTTTCTAGGATAATAGCTTAAAACACACACACACACACACACACACACACACACAAGAACATTTTCCTTTACCTATTAGTTACACTTCCATGTCTCTAATCTCCTTCCTCTCCTGGGCTCTTTCTCTATCCTTGCCTCCAGCCTTTAAGTTGCCCTTCCATCAGGATAAATAGGGTTTTGTCTCTACTATCAGGGCATTGACAGTGTGGTTTCATACTTCCTCACCTCAGTGACTGCCATCTTTATTCCTTATCTAGTGGTCCTCTCATGTTATGCAATGTAATCTCTAGCTACCAACGCACTCTTGTCATGGAGACCTCTGGGAATTTTCTCTCTGAACCTTTGGGAGCAAGGACTTCAGTCTCTTTTGCCTTGAAGTAGTGTAGTCTTTCACATCACAATGCCCATTTCCAGCTTTTTCAAACCATCTTCTTCACAGCCTGCTCTCCTCTTTCTAACTCCAAATTGAAGTTATCCCTGGATTAGTTCTGGATGGTTACTGTTTGGTTATCTATTTCTTTTATCTTAATTTAGCTTCATAGTGTTTAGAACTGAAAGGGCAAGTAAAGGTGATGTAGTATAATCCCTCCACCCCCATTTTACAGATGAGAAAACTGTGGCCCAGAAAGGAGAAATGTTTTGTCATGCAGGTAGTGAGGATTTGAACTCACGTGCTCTGATTCTAAATTTAACACTCTTGCTGATATGCCTCTCTGTTTAGCTACTACTTTCCAGGTGTATATCTTTAACAACTCATTCCTATAAGCTTCCCATTTTACCTTTCCCTCAAGTCTGATCATAAAACCTCATCATGGGATAAAGGTGATCCTGAGTTCTCAAAGTCCAAGTCAGAGGTATACTGGTTCAGGCAGGTTTTTCCACTGGGTTGAGTGACAGCGCTGTCTGAGGACCAGTTCAGCTAAATCTGGGGAGACACCACCATGTTGGTTGTAGGGTGATGAATTTTCTTGGTCCCAGAAACTTTCAAAGACCATCCAAGAGCTTGTGTGTGAGGGGAGAAGGGGGTGTTGTCTTCTGTGCTGGTAGAAGGAGTACCTACAGTGACAAAAATCATGCCCTCAAAGTATTTTGTGCTTTACAAATGCCTTACCTCATAGTGGCTGCAAGGTAGATACTGATAATACCATTCCGATTTTTTTTACAGCTAAGGAAATCACACAATTAGTAAGTGTCAGAACTGGAGTTCAAACCCAGAGTTCCTGACTTCAGATCTTGTGGTTTTTCCATTGAATTACACTGCCTCTTGCATCTCTCTTCTGGGCTCTAAAATTTAAGGTAAGATGATCCCTCTTTGTAAAGTGGGTTGACAGTGGCATATGAGTAATAAATTTCAGGAGAGCAAGCAGCATGCTTGTTGCAGATATTTTGTCCTAGGATCTGAATAATTCATAGAAATAATGAGGATGAAAACCAGTGGCCATAAATCATTCCTGGTAACCCTCCAAGACACAATAACATCCTAAAGATTTAAGAGAAAGCTGAACTGTTATTGCATTGAAAATGGAAAATCCCTGCTGTTGGTAGAACTCATGTGAAATAAATGCTCTCTGAAGGTTGAAAGTCTGTTGATGCTAAAAGGACTGTTTATGTGCCCGGGCTCATTTTAGCTGGAATGGTTTTATTTTTAGTCATGATATCCATGAAGGCCAAATTTCCCTCCCTTGCTGGGGAGTAGCAGTATAACATTAATCTGGTAGCCATTTTAAAAGAAGACCTCCCTGTATAGCAGGGGTTTTTAAATTGTCGTGTGTGTGTGTGTGTGTGTGTGTGTGTGTGTGTGTGTGTGTGAGAGTGTGAGAGAGAGAGAGATATGGATCCCTTTTGCATTCTGGTGAAGCATATGAACCCATTTTCAGAATAACATTTTTAAATATTTGATGGAAATGCTAAATCCCAGAGGTTAGTGAAAATAGATACATTTTTTTTCCTCATCCAAGTATATAACCACCTTCCCCCCAAAAAAATCTATCCATGGATCTCAGGTTAAAAGCCCCAATGCAGAGAGAAGACCTGAAGTTGAGAATTGTTAGGAAGGAGAGATTGGGGAGAAGTCGTGGTGGGGAAGGGGTAGGGGTGTGTGTCAAGGGATATTTAAAGTTAGAGATTCTGTCAGTGAGCTATCCCAAGAGAATGAGGACAAAGCCCTATGCAAAACCAAAAAGGGAAATATAATTTAAAAAAATCTTTGGAGTCATTTGGCCATAATAGTCATCAACTAGCTGTCCCAGGGGGCCCATGCAGGATCAGGTCTTGAATTCTCCTCCTAAGTGCTTTCTCTGATTTAGTTGAGAATGACTCAGGCATTGCAGCACTTAGAGCCTTCCCTCAATGACTTTCCGTAATCTCTTGCTCTCTCCATTAGGAAATTTTCATGTGCAGCTTAATTTTGCTTTTTCAGTTTCAAGTGACTTACCTGTTTCTGGTCCTATTCCTTTGGGCCCATCTCCTGGAGTCTTTCTCCCTTGCTATTAACAACTCATCTCAGAGTTACCCTCTGATAGATCGGAAGGAATCATTGGCTGATACAACACCACCACTTCCCACTTCCACCCTGCCCCTTCCAACATCATCTCCTTCCTGAAATTTCACTTTCAGATTTTTTTTCCCTTTTTGCTGAAGATTAATTTTATTAAAAAGCAAATAATCTGATGACGGGTTTGGGGCAGGAAGTGACATTGTATGTTATTATTGCAGAATGGGAAGAATGCTGATCTAGGAGGCAGGAGACTCTGGGTGTAACCCTCACTTTGCCATTAACTGGTTGTATGACCTTGTCCAGTCACTTCATCTTCTTGGGTTTCTGTTTCCTTTTTAAAATGTACGGGTTCTTGGGTATGAAGTATAATGCCAGTTTTTTCAAAAACATACTTAGTTTGCTAAATTTTTCTTACTTCCTCTTTTTTTTCTTTAAAAAAGTGTTATAGGGTAGAGAGAAGAGGGTGGATACAGGGGAAAATCTAGGTGATGGAAGAACAAAAGATATCAATAAAAATCACTGAGAAAAAACCCAACAGAAAAAAGCTGATTGGATTAGATGACCTTTAATATCCCTTTCCAGCTCTAAAGTTCTTATAACCCTGTTTATAACTCAGTGTGGAAGGTTTCAGCTCCTTTTTTAAAGGGCAGGTTTTGATGGGTAGAATTTCACTAGGATATTAGCTGCCAGAAGGGAGGAGCAAAGGGCACCAATGAGGAAAATCAGTGTATATATAATGGGATGGCCATTATTATCAAAGGTCATTATTTTGTGGTGGCCAGCTCTGATTGAAGTCTTCAGTTCATATAAGGCAGAGGTGACCACACAGTCACAGTTACAGTTACCTTCATCTTCCCTTATGAATCATTTCCTTCAGGGCTTTTAACTGTAATAATTTTATTCCAGATGGATATCCTAGTTTGTAATCAGCTTTGCTCTCAGTATCCTCCAGTACATTACCCAAACCAGCTCTACAACAAGACCAGGTACTTCCAGGAGACCCAGGACTTTGACCTATATTTGACATGTGATATTATTAGGGGGTAGAGTTATGTAGGCTCTATGGGAAAGAACATTAGATTGGGATTGAAAGATCTAGGATCAAGGACTGGCTCTGCTGCTAACTTTCTGTCACTTTAACCCTTTGAGCCTCAGTTTCCTCATCTGTAAGATGAGTCAGGGGTAGCTTTAGTACCCTAGCTCTAGCATTCAATGAGTAAAAATGATGTTGGGGAGTGCTGCTGCTGCCCTTTTCCCTAGATCACTCAAACCATTTGAAGTCAATGAATGTTTAAGCAACTACAGTGTCCAAAGAATACTGTTAGGCAGTAGGAGATATACAAATTAGGACACAAATGTAAATAACAAATACATAATATTATATGTGTTGAAATCCAATTAAACTCAACAGGCTTTAAGTAAGTTCTTATGTCAACATATTATACTAAATATAGCAAAATAAATGTAGAGTGAAGCCGGAGGAGGAAGGATGTTACTAAGGCTTTCTGGAGAACACGGCAACTTATCTGACTTTAAAGGGTGAATAAGAATTCAACAGATAATGAAGGGGAAGGAGGACATTCCAAGCATGGCAAGTATTTCAAAGAAAGATACACAGCTAGAACACGGAGAGTTCTCTATACCCAGAATGCTCTCTGTCTTTCCTCAGATCACTGGGGTAGTTGTTGATGTTTTTGTTCAGTTGTTTCAGTCGTGTCTGACTCTCTGTGACCCCATTTGGGGTTTTCTTAGCAAAGATACTAGATTGGTTTGCGATTTCCTTTTCCAGCTGATTTTACAGATGAGGAAACTGAGGCAAACAGGGTTAAGTGATTTGCCCAGGATCACACAGCTAGTAAGTGTCTGTGGCAAGATTTGAACTCCGGTCTTCCTGACTCCAGGCCCAAGGCTCTATCTCCTGAGGCAAACTTGGCTTCCTTTAAGTCCCAACTAAAATTCCACTTTCTATGGGCAGCCTCTCCCAAAACCTCTTCATTTCAGTGCCTTTCCTCTGTTAATTATTTCCAATTTATCTTATATGTAGCCTGTTTTGTATATATTTGTTTGCACATTGTCTCCAACATTAGATTGTAAGCTCCTCGAGGGCAGGGGCTGTCTTTTGCCTCTTTTTGTATCTCCAGCACTGAGCAAAGTGCCTAGCACATAGAAGGGGCTTAATAATTGATTGATTGTATGTTGGGGAGTAATATGAGATAAGGTTGGAAGGGTAGGGTAATCAGAATGAAATATCTTCAATACAAGGCAAAGAAGTTTGGACTTTCTTGAGAGGCAATGGGGAGCCAATGAAGATTTTTGAGCATGACATGATTAGATCTTTTTCCTGAAATTTCTTGATAAAGTAATAAAATTACAACTATATGTGAGGAGTCAAGTAAGAAGGATGATAGCAATGAGAAGGACACTGCAGAGGGGGGTTAGGATGATAGATGCTCAAGAATGAAATTAAATATCCAGAGGGAAAACAATTCCAATGTGGAATAAAAATAGGATTTGTCTAAAGAGACCAATGTGGTGAAAAACTTACCAATCATCTTGGATTTTTGTTGTTTGGCTAGGCAATGGGGTTAAGTGACTTGCCCAGGGTCACACAGCTACTAAGTGTTATGTATCTGAGGCTGGACTTGGACTCAGGTCCTCCTGAATCCAGGGCCGGCGCTCTATCCACTGCGCCACCTAGCTGCCCCCATCTTGGATTTTTAAAAGAAACATAAAGAAGATGAAAGCTAGGCTAGCCAATAGAATGAACATAAGAACATAGAACAGCCCTGCAAAATGATAGTGCCAAGAATTCTAGCTCCCAGAATGAGCTCAAGCTGGTGAGGTAAGCTAAGGGCAACCAAAAGGATTTTTAATTTTAAGCTATATTGAGAGAAAAAGAAGGTTGAAGAAGGGGTAGGAGACTTACTTGGGGTGGAAGGCATGATGATAACTGATTACAGAGAGAGGGCAATGATGCTTAATTTTGATTTTACTTCCGTTTTCTCTGCCAAGGAGAATGACCTTTGCAATGGAAATGACAGAACAAAAAAGAATAACAGGGAATTGATGCTCAAGATAAGAAAGATATAGTAAAGGAGCTCCCATGGAAGGAAGCAATTGTTTACTAAGTGCCTACTATGTGCCAGCTGTTGTGATAACTGCTTCACAAATATGGTCTCATTTGATCCTTACATCAATCCTGGGAGATTTGTGCTATTATGCCCATTCTACAGTTGAGGAAACTGAGGCAAAGAGAGGCTAAGTGACTTGCCCAGGATAATAGAATAGTAAATGTCTGAGGCTGGATTTGAACTCAAGTCTTCCTGATTCCAGGCTTGGCACTCTAGCCACTTCATGCCACCTTGCTGCCTCTAGGGAGTTTTGATGAATACAAATCTCTTGGCCCAGATGAACTATATATATATATTCTCTGATACTGAAAGAACTAGTTGTGATTGGTAAGCCTCTATCAGTGATATTCAAAAAGTCAATGTCCCAATCTTCAAAAAAAGGAAGAGAACAGAGAGCGTAAACTCTAGGCCGGGTGAGTTTGACTTTTTAGTTCTTGGGAAAATTGTGAAACAGATCATTAATTAAAGAGAAGTCTGACAAATATCTATAAGAATGGTATGATGAACTTTATCAAAAGTTTTGGTAAAGTCTGAGTAAACTATATGTTCTCACTGACTAGTTTACTCTGTCAAAAAAACCCAAAAGGAAACAAGGATAGTCTGGTATGATTGCTCTGGATGAAGCCATGACGGCTCCTTTTAATCACCATTTTCTCTTTTAGATGTTTGTCAACCTTCTGTCTATGTGTGATGAGTGTGAGAAACATTAAAGTCAGGATCTTCTGCTTACGGTGAACAGGACTGACTTACTCAGCTCTTGTTTTGGCTTCCATTTTCTGTGCCGAGGACAATGATCTTTGGATTGGCAAGAAAAAATAATGCAGAATAGGTAGATGAACCTGGAGACACGTGAGGGGATTGAGAACTGGGAAAACGAATGGCTAGCCCTAACAACATCAGCAACAATATTTATATGGAGCTATGTTGGGGCAGAGTGTTCTCCTCATGATTCTCCCATGCAGTAGATGTAGTACACAGATTATTAACCTTGTTTAACAGATGAGGGATCTGAGGCTCTGAAAGGGTGAGTGACTTGCCCACAGTCACACAACAAGTAGGTATCTGAAGTCAGATTTGAACCCAGGTTTTCTTTTTCCATTACACAATGCTACCTTTTATGAGTTCAATGGGTTCAATTCACTTGAGAGAATTAAAAAAAAATGAGTAGATGTGATTCCTGAATAGTACTAAGTGATCTTTGAAAGATCTTGAGAAAGTTGCTGCATCTAACTTTTTTTTTAAAGAAGAGAAGATGAAAGCTACAAAACATAGGCCACTGGGTTAGAATTTCTAAAATTCTGAAGTGCATAAATAATTTGGAAGGCTGTATAAAATTGTGGTTAGAGAACAAGCATTGAAGCCAGGAAGACCTAGCCTTAAACATTTACTGTGTGATGCTGGGCAAGTCACTTAACTTTTTATTATATATATTTTTATTATTTATTTTAATATTTCAAGGCACTCTCTATGACTATAAGGAACAGAGAAAATGCCAACCTTCATTGTTCTAGAGTTTCCTCACTTAGGAATTCCCCATATCAATGAAATTACAGTTTCAGTCCTTATTAGTAATGGGATGGCTTATGCCCTTGTAGAAAGAGAAGTCATGACCTCCAAGAGTCTATATGGTATCATCAAGAAAAGGTAATGTTCAACAAATATAATTACCTTTTTTTGATAGGGCTGTTAACCTGGTAAATCAGGGGAATGCTGTAGACACAATATACCTGGACTTTATCAACATATTTGAAAAAGTATGTCGTGGTATCCTTCAAGACGAGATAAAGAGGTTTAGGTTAGATGACAATCAAGTGAGGTAGACTCCAGAACTTCTTGAGTCACAGGTTCCAAAGAACAATCATTAATGGGTTGATGTCATTTAGGAAGAAT